ATTGGATTCATCAAGTTCCCTTCTTCTAAGTTATTTTGTCCTCCCTGGGCCTCTTTTGAACATGGATGGGTAAATGACTGGATCATTGGTTTTGGGCCACTTATTTTGGCCATTCAAAGGAGTGATACCTTCCTCATAACATTTGACATAAGTCGACTTGTGATAACACTTATGGACATAATTAATGGGATCATCAACTTTCCTATGGATTGCAACAATTGCATGTCTACATGGAATTCCAATGAGATCCCAAAAATTACATGAACATGTTTTATTAGCCAAATCAACCACAAAGCTATCAGTAAACATGACATGGGTAACTTAGAATGTCAATTGTCCAACATAAGTGGCTGCCCAACTTGCACTCTTTTCAATCTCTCTATCCAATCTCTTTAGCGGTTTTGACATGATCCTACCCTTATACCCATTAACCTTTTCCCTTAAAATTGCAAACCTACCCATAAGATACAACCTAATCCATTCAAACATTGTTATAATTGGTTTGTCCCTTTGAAGCAAGATAGTGGCATTAAAGGATTCACTTAAATTATTCATCAGCACATCACACTTAGAATACAAAGGAAATGCATGCTTACACCACTTAGTTTTAAGAATTTCCTTCAACCATTCATATGCATCATTGTTAACTTCCTTGATCTTCTGCATGTATTGTTCATGAGCCTCAAGGTAGGTTACCTTTGTTGCATCCATAATTTGATCCCTAAATAGGGTACCACCTCCAGACCCTTTTTTAAAGTTAGCATACAGATGCCTAACACAGAATCTGTGTTCAAAAGCTGGGTATTACTCCTCAAACACCTGTACAAGACCCTGAAAAAACCAAATAGTATAAACAACAGTTCAATTAATGGAAGTAACAAACATCTAAAAAACCAAACAGAATTAGAAGTGTACTTGCCTTTTGTTGGTCAGATATGAAACACCACCTTTTTTCACTAATGTCTTCAAGGAGTAACTGCATAAACCAACTCCAAAGGCAATTGGTAAATACTGGTCATTAGGGTCTCTTCCCACAGCTATTAACAATATCCCACCATACTTGTGTTTTAGATGACATCCATTTAATCCAATAAATGGCCTACAAGCTAATTTCAAAGCTTTCTTCGTACCATCAAAGTCCATGTAACACCTTTCAAACCTTGGTAGTAAACCTGGACCAGGAGATTGAATGTTTATCTTGAAAGTATTTCCTTTTGAAGTCCTCCTCAATTCAGCCTCATATGACCATAACAAATTATATTGTTTACTAGAGTCTCCCTCCACTACTATCCTTTTGGCAATCTATCTTGCCTTAAATGCCCTACAACCAGGGATTTCAGTTGCATACCTCACCCTAACATCTGCAATTACACCATTCAACTTCATTTTGTTATTGTTCTTCATCCTATCAACTATCACTTTTGCAACCCAGACAACTTTGGCACTCTTGTTAAAAAATTGTCTTCCACACTTATGTTTATCATACAAGGTCTTAATTCTAAAAGTTGTTGATGTTAGAACTTTACTGCATAGTACAATGTAATTGCATTGTGATTTTTCCTTGCAAACCACCCTACATCTCACTGCATCATTTTTTACAAATCTGATATCCCTACCATTCAATACATTATGTTCCAAAATAGCACTCTTGAACTCCCTCAGAGATGAAAACTCCATTCCAACTTTGAATTTATATTCCTTTGTAATCCCATCTTCCTCATTGAACCTAAAAACTCTTGGCCTATCATCACCACTAGCATCTTTAGCACCACTATCAAGCTCATCAGTAAGATACTCATCTTCAATTACATGTTCCTTTCCCATCTCTGGTGTAATAAGAGTTGTTCTCACTGCCTCACTAGAGTCTGCTACAACTGCAACATGTATGTTTCTAGGTTGACTATCAAATTTCTCATCAAAACCCTCATCAAAACCCTTCATCCTTTCTTCTTCACTATCCTCAAATTTGACATCCTTCACATCTTCATCACTAAAACCCTCATCAGTATTTGAATCAACCTCATCTTCACATACTTTAGCCTTGCTCCTCTTTCTTGCATTCTCCATAAAGGTTGCAATCCCTATACTAGGTTTAGGTTCAGTGTATATTTCAACCTCACCTTGGTGACTTGCTTGAATGAATGCAGCTAACTCAAATGCATCACCATCATCCCTAAAAGGTTTTAGGTCATTTTCTAAAGTACCATCACCATGTTTCCACCACATCTTAACATTATTGTACTCAAACCCAGAATACATTCCCTTAATTAAATCACATGCCTCAAAAAATGACCATGACTCACTATCTTGACCATTAAAGGCGTAAACTTCCCCACCCTCATACTTTAGCATTGGGTCTTTTACAAAAGAGCCCTTCGTGTAAAATATTACTTTAAAAACACCCATCCCTACATAATGGATGGAAAATACAGTCAAACATGGACCCACTAAATGACTATTGTATGCATACAAACCCTAATAACCTAATAACTACCAGTAAAATATGATCACTATACCAAACTTCAATAAATTAGAATCTAACAGGGAACATGTGGACTTACCTCAGTTCCAATATCAAGGGACCACAAAGCGAGCACCTTTCACGCAAATGTTTGGACCACAAAGCAAACCAAATGCAATGATAATGGAGTCAACTTTCTGCAAACAAAGTAAAATAATGCAATGTGTCACTGATACTATGTTCCACAAGAAAATGAAGAAGAATGAAGTTGAATTCAAAAATTACCTTCTATGGAGTAAACGAAGGAACGAGAATAAGAGTCAATTTTCAGCGTGAAAATGATTTAGGATTTCTGGTGCTATGTATGTAATAAACTAATAAAGGAACTTAGGTGGCAATTATATGTTCAGCGCAGTACGTGCTTAATCATCCATTCATCTACTCAAAATTAATAAAAAATGCCAACTCATCCGCACATAAGATTCCGTCAAGTGTAATAGACGTCAGGGATGAAAAATAGAGACAAAAAAGTTTTGAAAGACAAATATTTGAACAAATATGTTGAAGGGACTAAAACTAGATTATGACTTATTTTCAGAGACTAAAAACATATTTAATCCTATAATTTTTCAAATATCAAAATTCAACTTAATTTTCCCTTATAACCATCCTAACAATATGTTTTCCGCAGAACAAAAGATACCACGCAAGATAATTCTCATATAGCCTTATAAATTAACCTATCTGTTTTGTAAAATAAAAGATAAAAATAACTAATGCAGAAGGTAAAACTAGCAAATCACCCTTAATGATACAGGTAAGCACTATTAATACTAACATAACACCAGAAAGATAAGGACAAACAGGAATCTTAATTATTCCTAACTTTTTCTCCTTTTTTTGACAAAATCTAATACAACGGTTTGTGGTAAACACATTTGTCATCATTTCTTTCATCCCAAATTTATCATATTTTTATTCACATGAAATATGCTGTTCCAAGCTCTATTCATAGACCACGTTCTAAGCTTCACGTGATTCGCATTTTATTGCCACTTTTCTTTTTCATTTTCATTTCCCTCCCTTGATATATCGATCAGATAAAAACATTTTCAAACTTTTAATGTAAGAAAAATATTACTAACATAAAGTTATATATTTTTTTTCTGACACAACTACATCGAATCCATGTAGCACTATTCTATTTTTTTTTCTTTTGAATAATATTGTGTTGTATATTGTTTTTTCTGTCAAAACCATATTATTATAGTTTTTTTTTTCTATTTTGAATGAGAATCGAGTGTGAGGCTTAGGTGTGAAACAGTTGGAACGTTATCCAATTGTATGTGGACACTTTTTCTTTTTTAAGACAAAGTATGTGGACAATTTAGGTAACTAAATTTCCTAATATCATCACAAAGGTCAATGCAATTATGATATGAATTTTGATTACCTATTTCATCTTTTAACTTTTTCTTTTCTTGCATTAGTCTCCAAAATTCTGCCTCTAAAATTTGATGGTTTAGTTAAAAACCATCACAGTTTTTACGTGGCGAAGGCGGACAAAACAAATAGACCTTCACTAGTCAAAAACAAATTTTTTATACTTTAATGCACCGATCACGTCTGATTCTATCAGACAACTATCAGGATTCGAACTCAGAATTTTAAAAAAAATACACTCTCAAAATTCAAGTTTTCGCCGTACTAACAATCAATTATTTCATCCATGAAACTTGTTTACGACACAATTTTTAAAATTAAAAACTCTCAAGGACTACTTAAAGGCTATCTTTAATTAAAAGTCACATGCAATGCAATGGTATTAAGGAGATACTTCAAACAAGGAAGAAAATATGATGACAACTTGCATCGGAACGCTAACCCTCATAACTATAATTGATCTTTTTTTTCCATAACAGTTTTGACCAGTTAATTTTGACCATATCATGTGATATTCTGAATACTAAAATGATTTCCAAGTTTGTGAAAATCTATACACCAAATCTGATGAAAAAAAAAAGACTTCTGCATCAAACTATGCCTGGAAGTAACCACTTTTGAATTTAGTACTAAAAATAAAGCAACCTTGGATTCTAAAAATTAAAGTTTGAACTTAAAAAGGTAAATTTTAACCCTCCAATAAAAAATAGAGGTCTCAACTAAATGAGAGATAATGCATAATATAAAAAGAGTTGCTCTTTCACTCACTCATGTGCCAGTTTAGAAAATACTTGTTTTCAATTTCAATTAATAATGCTTCCAAAATCACCTCTGGCACCATCTATCATTCATTCATTCACCTTGTGACTAAGATCTCTCACCCTCTCACTCACAAGTACTTTTAAAATTCCCAACAAATCCATTCTCCAATCTCATATTCCACTTCTCTAGCTTCTTTTGTTACCTGAGTCGCGACGTCAAGGTTTTTGATATCTCAGGACTAAGATATCAACCACACTTGATCGCCGCGATTCTCTACAATATATCAAAGTTTTAGTATCACTAGTGATCGCAATTCTCTTCAATATCGAAGATCATGACGATGCAAGACTCAATTGGTGTTCCTGCTTGCTTTTCCACAGCGGAGAAGCTAGGCGATGATCATAGCGCAGGCGTGACGCGTTCTGGTCAGAGTGTTTACATGTCAGTATACAGAACAAAGGTAGCTGATCACTGCCGTTTGGTAACCATCACATGGTGCAAGAATCTGTTACTTCACGGGCTTTCGATATCGGTGGAAGGTCCAGAAGGAGAAGCTCAATATTCTTGCAAGGTTGAACTAAAGCCGTGGTATTTTTGGAGAAAACAAGGTTCAAAAAGGTTTATAGTGGATGGTAATAGAGCTGTTGATATTTTCTGGGACCTTAAAGCTGCTAAATTCAATGGCGAAACAGAACCAACTTCGGAGTACTATGTAGCTGTTGTTTGTGATGAAGAGGTTGTTCTTCTTCTTGGTGATCTTAAGAAAGATGCTTATAGAAGAACTGGGTGTAGACCGGCTCTTATTGATCCTATATTGGTTTCGAAAAAAGAACATATTTTCGGAAAGAAGAGATTCTCAACTAGAGCTAAGTTTCATGAGAAGGGTAAGTGGCATGAGATTTCAATTGAATGCAAGAACCGAGGAAATGGAAATGGAGATTCTGTTGTTGGATCGGTGCAGCCAGAGATGGAGATAAGAATTGATGGACATTTGGTGATTCATGTGAAGCATTTGCAGTGGAAGTTTAGAGGTAATGAATCAGTTCATCTTAGTAAAATGCGAATCGAAGTTTATTGGGATGTTCATGATTGGTTATTTAGTCCTGGTTTAAAACATGCTTTGTTTATTTTTAAGCCAATTTTATCATCAACTATTTCATCTTGTTCATCTTCTCCACTCTCAATTCAAGCTAGGAGTGTTGAATCTGTGGAAGGGTTTAGTGTTAGTGGTTCATCAGAGTTTTCTTTGTTTCTTTATGCTTGGAAAGTTGAATGAAAAGGGTCATAGTCATAGTCATTGAAAATGAAGTACTAGTAAATGGGTCACCAAATAATGGAATGGTGAGTGAGGAAGCATTGCAAAATGAAAAAAAGCTAGTGGGACCAAAATGAGTTTGGGAGTTAGTTACAGCTGGTATTGAAGCAAATAAGCATAATTGTAGAACAAGATAGATTGTATCACATGCTCAATAATTCTCCATATTGAGATATCTACATCTACGCCTATATTTTGCAAAAATTGGAAATGTTCTTTGTTGATCTAATCTTGGTAATTGAGCTATAAATGTTAGTAGTATTTCAAACTGAATTTTGTATCACTGAAAAATAGACAATAGATTAGTAGTATGATTGTGAATGATATTACCAATGTCAAAAACAATAATAACCAGACAGCTTCAAAGATTCACATGTGATATTGATAGGACCATATATCTATTCTTCTCCATCACAAATGTCATAATAATAATAAGAATTCAGTTTAATAATTAAAGCGAAAAGTGACAATGCCGATGTAAGTTTACATATACAATAAGTATTGAACGGTCAAAATCAATAACTACATCACATAATCCTGGTGTGACCCATATGAGATTCTGATTTGAATATTGTTTTTTATTTTGATTTGAATTTTGCAAAAATAAGTTGTGATTTGCATGGATGGTGTATTGTAGTTCATCTTGAACCAAATCCAAACCACCTAGCCAAGAAGAATTTGTTTTTCCCTCGAGCGGCTTCCTTTTCTGCATTTGACGATGTTGCTGGGCTAGAAGATTGCAAAACTGGTGTTGCTAGTTTGACTGCAAGAAGTGTTGTTGCCACATTTATTTATAGTTGCAACAAGGTAAACTTGACTTACTAAGAATAATTTTAAATGGATTTTTGTTTATTGAATCATCAGTTCAATATATACCTTTGGCGTCGGTGGAATTTGTTCTTGAACTTAGCATGGTAGTTTCACGGTCGGATGTAGAGCTTGATTTTCTCTCGCGAACTTTATGCTCCATGTTTCCTTCACTATTTTGGTCACCTATTAAAAAGAATAACAAAGGAAAGTAATTGTAACCATATTAAAATGTTCAAGACTATAGATAACTGCTATCTAAATAATATTGGCTAATTATTCTGTTATATAGTTAATGCATTTATAACATTTGTGATTCCATTAACAGAATAAAGTTCAAGAGTCATGGTAATGATGATATGTTCTATTCAAATTAATCTTTTGGCAATTGAAAAGTAGCGGTTCTTAGGAGATTTACATCGGAGTGTCATAAAAAAAGAGGGTGGCTTATAAGTCATGGGATTTTCCAATCTAACAGATTAGTTTTTTTTGGGCTGAGCTATCCTTTTTGGCTTATGCTACTAACATTTAGTACTTTCATTGGGAGAAGTGACTTCTCAAAAGGGGCAACTCACGAAGGTTTCTGACTAGTGGGGGCTTCTTACCAGACTTACTTAGTGAAGTGTCGCGGAGTGACAACTTCCTAAGGACCCTGGCACTCAATAAGTGTTGCATTATTAGGAGGCTCGCATAAATATGACTTAGAAAAGGAAAAGAAAGGGCCTAAGAGAATCAATTTCCCAAAAGGGATACCCACTCAATATTCAGATCAGTGGAGGATTTTAACCAGACAAAGTTGAACGAAGTATCATGGATTAAAAGCCATCAACGCTTGTTGTGTCATGCATGACCTGTGACATAGGCGTGCATAAACGACACACTACACCATTTAATGTATAAGTTTAGAGCCAACTGGCACGCTTAACCATATCCTTAAACCACCCCGCAGAACTCTTTTGTGAGACAAGCCAAGGGGTGCTCCCTCTAATAGTTTGGACTTTTGGGTTGGGTTCTATATTTGGTCTTATGCATTTAACATTTGGTGCTTTCATTGAGAAAGTTTGATCGGATAAAGTTGAGTGATGCATTGTGGAATGAAAGCCGACAATTGGCTCTCGAACGATTGTGCATTTTTAGGAGTCCTACATTGTAGAAGTTCACCTTATCACCTATAAGGAGTGAAGTGCCTTGTTTGGGAGCTCCATATTGAGTTGTCTCACCTAAAAGGCGAAGCTTATAAGTCAAGTGATTCTCTCACCTAATTGGCAGTTGGCACGAGAATTTTAGAATATTAATTAGAACATTCCATCTTTTAAAATGTTCCATATAAAATCTTTCAATTGAATGAATCTCTGATTTCAATCCCAGCATACTCAAGAAAAAATAAGCTTGACTGGATTTGACATTGTTTGGGATTTGACATATGATCTTGCAGCTAATAGACATAGATACTTACTTTCATCAGGGAGCTTCCAATAGTTATGGTTCAACGCTTCGACAAAAGAAGAAGATTGTTGGTCTTGCATCACTTCAAAGAATAAAAAAGAAATTAATATATATTAAACTTGATTATCACGAAATTCTCAACTTAAATGTACGGTGAAACATAAACCCTACACTGATCAAATAAAGCATATCTGTAGTTTGGAGCCGAGCCAACCAATAGCAGCTGGACAGCCTCAGCATCTCTTGTCATTGATACTGATGTTGAAGCTTTTAGGTTCTGCGTGTCTAGCAGAATACCAGCAAGCTGAAAATAATATATAAGCATAAGTACTTATCTAGGAATTAACCAGAGATGCAGAATGAATTTACCAATAGTTTCTTCAACACAGAGTTTTGAAGCAGATCATATGCATCCTCACAGTAATTATCTGTTAGAACAGTGCATTGAGATCCAACCTGCAGAACATAAAAAGAAATATAAAATCAATTCTCACTCATGTTGCACATTGATTTGGCACAAAGCTTGTTTTTTAAATTAGTTTTCAAGCGAACCAACCTCGTTAGTTGCGTTTAAGATATCTTTTCCAACCACAAGGACGCTCAGTTTACCAGTCACCAAAAGGCTTTCCATGTCCACCTGTAAACAAACTTCAGCACTATATTCAGTGTCTGTTTGGTTTCACAATAGGGAGAGTCAAAAGTGATTATGAACATAAAATTGATTTTGAGTCATTGACATGTTTGGGCGATTGCATTGAGATATGATTCTAACTAGAAATAAGGATTTGTGGATTTTGACTTCAATATAATTTTTACACTTAAATTTTTTATTCAACTCAAGATTAAATAAATCAAAACGCAAACCACTTCACATTCTTAACTAAAATCAACTTTACATAATCAAAATTTGACAGCCCAAAACAAATAAACAAACAATGTATTAACATACTAAACACAAACATTTGACTATAAAAACAAATATCAACAAAAAAGAAGAAATGTGACCTCATCAATGAAAAGCAAAGAGGTGGCATCAAGAGCAGCATGATGAAAGAGCCATGCAGCTTGCTTGAGGTTACACATAGCACCTCGCTTCACATTCATCACCGGCACCACCACAACGTGTTCTTTTCTACCGTCATCATTCTCTCTTTGTCTATAACCCAATAGCCACGCATGGCAAATAGCAGCCACCATTGACGTCGTACCTACACCACACACAAACAAAAATCATCATATTCCAACAATCTCAAAATCAAATCAACAAAACAAATTTCACTATTTCACTTACTATTAGAAGCTCCAGAAAGCACAATTTTGATTTTGACATTTGCAGGAATCTCTCCCTCAGAGAATCTCTGAAACAGATTCCTCTGCTCTTTCAAAAACCCGTTGAGGCTATAATCTTCAGTGGCTTCTTCTTCTTCCTTTGTGAAACGCTTCACCGGAACTATCTTCTCTGACGAGCAAGTTGAAGACGATATCGTTCTTCGATAAGCAGACTCCACGAGGTTCCTTGGTGGGGAGAGTGGTAGAGAATCGGACGTCGGGGTAGGCCGCCGGATTGGATTCTCCGGCGACGGTGCAGAAGTCTTGAATGTTCTTCTGGAATTATAATTAGGAGGCTGGATTCCCTGTGGGTGAGGTGCAGCGGAGGGTTCAGTTTTGAAGCGGGATTTTCGAGAAAGAGGCTGACGTGGAGGGAGGGAATCAGGAGAAGGTGGTGGTGTGTTATTATTACTGTTGCTATTGTTATTGGTATTGTTATTGTTATTGTTGTGGTTGGGTTTGAGGATGTTGGAAAACCATTTGTGTACTGCCGTTGCAGGGGATTCATCCCCGTGTGTTGAAGGTTGAGAAGAAAATGTATCGGATTTGTTGCGGGTGTGTTTTGCTGTCTTGGAGAGTATCTCATCACTGATCCCTTCCACTGTTCTGTATCTGCTTCACATTATACAATGGTGAACTTGGTTAAGGGTTTTTCACTTTTCATCTTTGTTACAAAAATCTACTATATTAGTAATATATTATAAAACCACAAATTTCATTGAAAAAAAAAGTTATTACTTACCTTTTTAAAAAAGAAGACAAATCTGTGTGTCCAATCTAACTATTTAACTATATGCGTTTTCTTTATTCATGCAAAGAAAATTTACTAGTACTACTAAATAAAGTTTTGCTCCTTTACGTATATCCTATTGTTTGAGTGAAATAAAAGATGTTACCTTCTGGCGGACCTAGTCCTAGAAAGAGCATCTGTCCGATCAGAAGACGGGAGCAATGATTTTGAAGGCGACGCAAAGCGAGGGGAACCCAAAAGGCGTCCAGGAGATTCACTACGTGAAGGAGAAGAAGCAACGACGCGTCGTGCTTCTTGCAACCATTCTTGCGTCAACCTTGCACTGTTACTTCTAGTACTGTCATCAAACCCATCATCCTCCTCCTCCTCATCCATACTCACACCAACTCCTCCAGTAAGGTCGTAGGTTTTCTGGTGAGTGTCTGCTGTTCCGAAAAACATGTCGTTCATGAAATCGGTTAAGTCGGGCGGCGGTTCTTCCCGGCGGAGTGTCTCTGCCATCTTTTTTTGTAGAGTTAGTGGCCCTTTGCTCTCTCTGATATACCTTCGCTCCATTGGGATGAGGTGAGACACACACACTGTTAGAGATTTCTCTATCTCTAAGAATGTTTGACGAGGATAAAAGAGATGGGTTAGAGTTATTAAAATGTGAGATTGGTAGAAGAATGATCACATTGAAGATATCAGTATGACTATGTCTGAAGGAATTTTGCCGGCATCTGTCTTATTATAGATGTGTTTGTCTTTCTATCTAACTTAATTTGAATGCTAATTAAGGACTATTAAGTATACTTTATTTTAGTTTATATTGTGAACAAATATTTTCATAAATTGTAGTAATATTGAAGAGTAGAATGATGCTTGCTGAATTTTTAACGAATCAGATTGAAATCATTAACGGATAGTCTAAGATTTATACCGCATAGTATTCAACACAGGTAGATACGTCAATATGCAGCGATACACTCATATATATCGTGTTACTATTATTATACTCTAAAATATATACCGCATAGAGTGATTTTTGTTGATATATTACGTGTTATTATTTAGATGATTCAGAAGCGTAATAGTTTAAGGTCGGGTACAATGATGATCTTTTGTTCAAACTTTAATATTACAATTTTTTACAAAATGTTACTCAGTTTAAAAGAAGGAGTGTTGCTAAAATCAACTATTCTGTTTTAAATGAGTCTATCATAATGAGTCTTAAACTTATTAGAGGCGGGTTTAAAAAGTCAGATTGTTATATAAAGTCAAAAGTTACCACACAAACCCGACTCTATACAGGTTTTAGATTATTCCATCCTAAATGAATTATTTTTTATATAAAAATTAAAATTAAAATATTATAATATTTATTATAAATATAATTAAAAAATTATATTAGTTTTAATGTTATATATTTTTATAAATATTATAATATTTTAAAAATAATACATGTTTAAATTGTTTAAATCATATAAAATAATATTTAAATATTTAAAATAAGAGAAACTAATAGATTCAAAGAAATTGTAAAATAAAATAAAAATTAATTAAATATTTATTTGATTAAATTATTATATAATATATTAAAAAAGAAAGATTGAATAAAATTTAATAAAATGAAAAAATTAATGTATTGTTTTGAAGTGAAACGATATAAGTATTAATATAATTTTGTAAAATTTATAGTTATGCAAGTTTAACGGATTATCCACAAATTATACAGACCGCTCTTAATGGGCCATGAGTTTTTTAGGGTAGGGTTACAAAAACTTGAAAAAAATATGAGCTATAATTTTAAAGTCTAAGACCTATAATTTATCAGGCTTAGTAGATTGGCTCATATTGATTAATCTATTTTAACAGCTCTAAAAGAAAAAAAAATTACGTTTAGAAGGAAGAAATAAAATTCTTTATGATTTTAGTCTATGTGAATACTATGTAAGTGAGAAATTGACCGAACCATAACTAATTTGAGATACATTTAGAAATTCTAAGATTCAATCTCTTAGTGACAAACTCCTTTAAATTTAATGATTTAATTCTAACAGAATATTGATAGTGCTAGTAAAAACAAGATTTAACTCATGTTTTGATTCCTTGATTTAATTTATTGTTTTATTTTAGTCCTTTATTTAAAAAATATTACATTATAGTCCTTAAAACAGTTTTGATAGTCAAATTGATCAATTCCGTAAAAAAATTTTTACTTAAATGTACTTTTGGTCCCTATAGTTTGAGTGTTTTAAATAATTGGTCTCCCTACTACAAAATCTGCGATTTGATCTCTTAATTTTGATGGTCTTTGAATTTTTATGGTCCCCCTCCACTTTTGCAATTAAAAAAAAAAAAATTTAATTAGGTGACAAGAATGACTAAGATATTTTAATATTTAATAATTTTTTTAACTAATTTAATATTTAAATACTCTTAGTTAATTTTTTTTAATTAATTAAAAAACTGCTAATGTATTTTTGGGTCTAAGCCCATTTTCTAACAACACCACTCCAATACAAATTGAACATTGTATGGATATATGAGATATATAAACACTTATATTGTTGCTTAAAAATTCGATGTGGGACAATCTTTGGAACCATACAAAGCTTGTGCAGCACATTTAATAAAACTTTTGGTTAGTATAAAACCTACAAAACCTTCTTCATCTTCCACAAGTATGCAACAACTGTAACATCATTTTTTGTCTTTCCCACAGTACCAATACGAATCACTCCCTTAGCTTCGGTTAGTATCAAAGTCGATCTCTTTTATGTTGCCAATGTCCTTAGCCCTCAAAAAATTATGGATATCCAATGGTCCGTGTTAGAAGAACTATGCAATTGATGGATTATATTCTTGGTCATAAAGCTCGCACTTGTGATCCTTTGAATGCAGAAAGCTCATTAAAATATTTCTTATTCTAGCCACCACATTTCCAACCAATTTGATGTTGATGCTTCATCGCTAGAAAGTATCATTTCCATGTCTTTAAGATATGGCCAATTTTTTCTATTATCCTTCCCATTCTTGATCTCCTGTTAAGAATATAAACCAAATTATTATTGAAATAGTAGCTATGTTAGAAAGTTATATTTATCATCATTTCCTACACTTGTACTAAAGATGAATATAATCCCTCATATTATATATACGGATAATACTGAAATATACATGGCCAAAAAACACTTTCATTCACACTACGAGTTTATCCTTACTTTCTCTACATCAAAATATTATAGTTAACTTCGAGAGAGGCAGAAGTGAAAGAAATAATCCCGTTACTTTTTGTTGTAACATAGTCTTTGAGATGATATGAGATAGTTCAATTGAGACAATTGGTAAATGATTTCACTAGCAATGATGATATGGCAAAAGATGTCGATGTTATCCTGCAACTGTTTATATAAGAACAGATGATGGAGATGAAACTTGTCCAACTGTAACAAGCGCGTGCAAATGTGAAATGAATTTGGTGTTAAAAACAGCTCTTGTCGATATGTATTCAAAATGCAGAAGGATAGAAGATGTTACTAAGGTCTCCAATTTACATGTATAATGGAAGTCTGACATCAATTTTCTAACAAATAAAAATAATACTTATAAAGATCATTCACACATGCCTGGTAGAATCATGAATTATGAGCTAACAGAAAATGGGCTTAGGCCCAATAAATCCCGTTTATAATTTATAATAATTAACTTCTAAATAAATTTCAAAATAAATAAACATTAATAAATAAATTATCATTATTTAAAATACATAACTAATTTAATTAAAAAATATTAATAAATAAATAATCTAGTCATCAATGCCATGTCATTAAAAGTAAAAAATTTATCTCAATCATCAATGTCACATCTGCAAAGTGGAGGATGACCACAAAATTCCAAAGGTCATTCAAATTAAGGGACCAAAATTGCAGATTTTGTAATAGGGAGACCAATGGTTTAAAACGTCCAAACTAGGGGGGTCAAAAGTGCATTTAAGCCTCTCTTTTTTTAAAGTTAAATTGTGCATATATGGCAGCCTACTTGGCAGTATATTATCTTACTTGGCTTTTTGTTTTGTTTATTTTCAATTATTATGTTATTAAACATGTGAAACATTGTAACCCTAATTTTATTTCATTGGATACTTCAGCAAGTTACATCGGTCTCACATTCTCATTTACCACCGCATCTGTCACTACCATCATTTGTAGATCCCTCGCCTCCCTATCCCAACCGCAAGTAAATCTCTCATTGATCTCCTTTCCATTTCCATCTTCTATCTTCTCTAGCTTCCATCTCTATTTTCTATTTTCTCTGGTTTCCATCTCCACATATCTGACCATGCCTTAGACCCCAAATGCAGATTTGATCATGCAATAAGTTTAGCAATATTAAACGCACTACATTTTTTGGTGGGTTTATTGCTACGAGTTCATATAACTGTATTTGAAAGTTAAATTGCTAGAGTTATTGTTCCATGCTAACATTGAAGGTGAAACATTAGCTGAACTCCAAGCACAAATACTTGACTTTCTTAGGTATCATTATTTCCCTTCAAATTTTATATTTAAATATTCATTGACTATGAGTTTAATTAGGAAAAATAGTATTAATGGCGCATGACAGTTAGCGATTATACAATGTATGTAGTTTGGAAAGGGCTAATATTATCTATTATGGTGCAAGTTCTTGCAAAAAAAATCAGAGAGCATTTTTCCTTTCTTCTTATCATGTCCAGGAAGATGTTGAGAACAGTAGCGAAAAACAATTTTGTATTACACATAATATCACATAGCATCTGCAGTTTAATATCACATAGCATCTGGGTAATCCACCCTTTTTAGGGTAAATGGAGAGGAACTATTTAAAGGATGCTACTGCTTGAAGTTAAATTTGAGGCACAGGTCTATCAGATTTCCTTTATTACGCTTCATAGTTTTAGTTTGGGAACATAATGGCTAGATGCTTTTATATCATGATAATCTGAGTGATTATTGCTTTTGTGTTATGGTAATCCTTGACTAATTTTTTGTATTTTTGCAGCCAGGGAGAAACAGCTTGAGGAAGCGAGGAGGCTTGCTTCGCTGCAGAAGAAAAGAGAACTGAAAGTTGTTGGAATTGATATCAGGCAGAGGAGAAGGAAAAGGATATGATCAATGTAATTAAATTTAAGATTATGTGCAACTTTGAAGAAATAGATTATGGTTTAATGTAATTAAATTTAAAATTATGTTGATATGAAAGGTTTTATTAATCCAAAATGATATAAAATTGTTACAAATGCAATCCTTTTGCTGAGTCATTACACAGTTGTCACGCCACACTGGCAAAAACTAACGTTTTCTCAATTAAACTAACGGAAGGGACCAACATTACTAACATAACTAATATTACGAGACCAAACTGCAACGATTTTTATAAGGGACTAAATCAGAACTTATAATTAACTTATGGGACCTGGGGACTAACTATGCCTAAAAACAATGAACTTATTATGAAAGTTTGATTTGCGATCACTATAA